GACATAAGAAGTACCCATCGGAGGACACCAATGAAGAGTACCTGGGACCTCCTGCAACTTCCTGTGAATCTGATTTATTTCAAAATAAAAAGTTGTTTTAAAGAAAGCACTGTAGAAAATGCAATGTGTTTCAGTGGAAAACTATGCACTGCCTACATGCAGCACACCATTTTCAGTTACCTGATTCTACTCTCCCATTGTCTTTCAACTATTTTTACAAGTTCTAAACTCTACAAGTTTAAAAAACTGATAGACATGCAAACTGTCCCATCTAGTAGAGGTTCCCTTTTCTCCACCTGCACACCCCATGGAAAAACCATTTACACATTCAACTCAACATTCCTTTATTCCATATGAATTTGGGCTTCCTCTGAATAAGGGCCCTGCATAATTAGGTTCAATAAAATCTTTAACATGTGTTTATTTTTATGTCTGTATGAGAGTCACAATTTTACCTTTCCTGAAAATATCGTTTTTTAAGAACATAAATCTGGTCATGTCATTCCCTCTGTGTAACTACCTCCAAGGCTTCCCACTGCCTTTAGAATAAATCCCCCAGGTGCCCCATGATGTACAAGGCCCCGCACAGCCTAGGTCCAGCCCGCCTCTCCTCCCCTTCTCACTCTGTCCCTTGCCAGGGCAATTCCAATGGCTTGCCCTCTTTCAGTTCCCTGAGAGTATCAAGCTTGTTTCCACCTCATGGCTCGTGCCATAAGGAACCTGTTGTTCCTTAGCCTGGACTGCTTTTCTCTTGGGTGGCTTTTTCTCATGAGTGAACTCTCAGCTCTGTTTTTCCACCTCAGAGAGATCATCTCAGCCACACTCTATCAAAAGTAACACCCTCACCCTATTTTTTTTTTTTTTTTCAGAAAAGGTCTCACTGTGTTGCCCAGGCTGGTCTTAAACACGTCGATGCAATTGATTCTCCCACCTCAGCCTTCCAAAGTGCTGAGATTACAGGCATGAGCCACTGTGTCCAGTCTCCCACCATGGTTTTTCATCATAGTTTGTGTGTTTAGAGACAGGCCTGGCTCTGTCCTACAGGTTAGAGTACAGTGGCACAGTCATAGTTCACTACAGCCTTGGACTCCTGGGCTTAAGTGATCCTCCTGCCTCAGCCTCCCAGGCAAATAGAACCACAGGTGCACACCACCATGCCCAGTTATTATTATTTTTTTATAGGGATCTAGTCTCAAACTCCTAAGCTCAAGTGATCCTTCCCACTCAGCCTCCCAAAGTGCTGAGATGACCGGAATGAACCACTGAGCCTGTCCCTCATCATAGTTATTTCTATTTAGAATAATATTATAAGTTAGTTACTAGTTTGTCTATCTGCTCTCCCCACATCCATAATAGTAAGGCCTTGTTATCTGGGTTACCATTATATTCCCCAGTGCTTAGAAAGGTACCTAGCACAGGGTAAACACTCAATATATATTTGTTGAATAAATGCCTTGGAAAATGAAGTGCCTGAAGGTAGCAAGATCCTCATCACTGGAGGCATTTAGACATGGTTTGCACAACCACTTGCCAGGGCCATGGGAAAACCATGGGCAGAGGCTCAGCCACAAGAATAAAAGACTGCTAAGGTCCCCTCTAGTCCTATGTACCTATGATTATAGGGCCACCACATCTTTTTTGCTATGCAGTGAGAAAAGCAAAGGAGTATTCCTCAGTTACTTTGTACCAAATGATAGTATGCACACTCCTGTTCCTGCTGCAATATCATCTTGGCACTAAAATGTTCAAGCTAATCAGACATTTAATTTCAAAGTGGAAGGTCATTATCTTGTCACAAAATTTTATTCCAATTACTTTTTTTTCTATTATATGAAATGAATTAAAAGTAGCACAAAACATTAGGAGATCAAACAGTCAATCAGAAGCTCATTAAATATCATTGAAATTGGTGCAATAAAAAGCATTTCCCATGGCTGAGTTATTATTTAAAAGCTATATTCTAGATGGCTCAAGGAATTGACATGCTGCCAATCAAAAAATCACCCTGTCCATAAATAGCCACTTGGCTTTTAAAAGTTCACTCTTTTTTTGTTTTGTTTTGTTTTATTTTGTTTTGAGATAAGAGTAAATACCTAAAAAGATTTAAACCATGGGTGTAATTACCATTCTATCAGCCCCTTTGGGATATCCAAGAGAAGATATCCACAAAGTCACTATCTGATAATTTAGGCCACAGTTTAGAGCAAGATGCTCAAAGAGTGCTACCAGTAATTTTATAAACACTTAAATACATTACATTTATGTACAATACTCAGTTAAATACAATCTCAGGCAGGGATAAGTGGTCAGTTATAATTTTAAAATTGTGTTCAACTCCACACTTAGAGTAAATGCTCATTTTATTTTTTAAAGACTGATTCTTAAATACTTCATTTTTCTTTGACCCAGGACCCAGACATAGGTGACTGCCCACATGAGAATCTGAAAGCTGATCATTTAAAAATTTTTTTATATTTTTCCTCTGGGAATCTTCCCCTCCCCACTCCTTTTAAAAAGCTAAACCACTAATTTGATTATTTCTGTTTTATAGAAATGATCACTTTTTGATGTAAAGGACAGCAGGTCCTTTTCACTGGAAAATATACAATAGAAGTATTATTCCCAGTCTCTTAAGGTGTTTAAGTGGTGAAGAGAATATACATTTAAAACTACATAGAAGAGCAAGGCGTGGTGGCTCACGCTTGTAATCCCAGCACTTTGGGAGGTGGAGGCAGGCGGATCACTAAGTCAAGTGCTCGAGACCAGCCTGGACAATATGATGGAACCCCATCTCTACTAAAAACACAAAAAATTAGCCAGGCGTGGTGGCATGTGCCTGTAGTCCCAGCTACTCGGGAGGCTGAGGCAGAAGAATCGCTTGAACCGGGGAGGCAGAGGTTGCAGAGCTGAGACTGCACCATGACACTCCAGCCTGGGTGACAGAGCAAGACTCTGTCTCAAAAAAAAAACCCAGAAAACAAAAAAACCTACATAGAAGAGAAAGCCCCCAGATACAGGAAATTACTTCTTCAGAAGAACTAAAGGATTCTCCCATCTAAACTCCCCACACTGACACCACCCCAATTTCTTTTCAAAAGCTAGGACTTATTGGCAAATTATCTGGGAGTAAAGTGGGAGGGAAACATTTCAATGCAAAATTCAGAACTGCTTTATAGAAAATGTGGGAGGTTTGTTATCATTTATTTCCTCCAGTATATCATTCAATTTCAGCTGTCTCACATCTCAGAAGTAGCTCCCCCATTTCTCACTTATGTGCCTAAGAAACATCTCCCTGGCATCTCATTCTCTCTGTCTTTCACCAGCATTTCATTATTTCTTAACTGTCCCTCTCATGCTTGTCTCCCTTTTTCCTAGTGATCCACGTGTCCTCATTTAGCAGTTTTCAGAAGCCAGGGAGAAACATTGCAAATAATGTTAAATATGATTAATATCTTGAATTCCTTGAAATATGACATGCATGAGTTACAATGAAACCTCTTTTATTTCCCCATGAAATGCTTTTGCATAATGAGAAAGAAAATGTCCTCTATGCCCTAATCAGCCCTGACAGTTCCTGGACTCCCAAATACTTTTATTTATGGCATTATTTATTTCATCTCTAATAAATGGATGGGGGGGAACACAGTACCATCTGAGGAGGCTGCAGGAGAGAGGGAGACAATCTATGGTGGAAGAATACAGAAAGAAGCTGAACAAGCAAGGGAGAGAGAGAAAGCTTCCAAAGGGAAGGAGACCAGGGAAAGGAGAGGCCAAAAGAGGTGAACCCCCAGAAAAAAATGGGTCACTATCCAAAGAATAAGAGAAAGGCTCTGAAAAGGAAACACACTTCAGAGTGCAGAGATGAGGGTCCTACATCAAGGAGCACCCAGAACTCTATCTAACCTGGAGAACGAAGAAGGAAGGCTGAAAAGCAACCCTGGGGCAGGGTATGCTGGTTGGCCTAGAGGAGGGGTGATTTGAGATAGGGAGCAATGGACCCTTTGCTCCAAAAAGTGGCTGGGAGAGGCTAGGGCATTTGTACCCCATGGAGGATCTTCCTCCAAACCACTGAGATCTCTCATTCAAACTGCTACTGAAATTGTGGGTCCTCCAGACCCTCGCCAATGGCGCCAGTTGCAGTGAGTAAGCCAATGCAAGGAGTGAGTTCTCCAGTTACCTTGGTCTTGCAAGTATATACACATATATTTAAAAGGACACTGTTGAAAGTAATCACCACCCTCAAAGGGAGGTGTCAGGTCATTTTCTCCCTCAGTTGCAGAGAGTCTACTGTCTATGAGAAGTGAGGAGTTGAATTCAAATAACCCAGATCCATCAGTGCAAAATAGCCACAGGCTCCCGAGTGTCTGACTTTGGGCAGTTTCCTTTAACTTCGCAGAGCCTCGGTTTTCTCATCTTTATAATGGGGGGAAACGATGGCGTCATGCACTTTCAAAGGGACCTTACGGGAAACAAATGAAAACGTGAAAAAATTCTACGCCCTGCGTACTTTTATGTTCCGCATTAGCTCAGAGGCCGCGAGGCTCCAGAAGAGCAGGACCCCAGGGCCGTGCGAGCACCTGGGACAAGAGGTTGTTTTCAGAATGATCAGGGAGCAATTCCCGATTGGCAGAAGAACTTCCTGTAATACACACATACTCTGACGACCCCACCCCAACGACTAACCCCTCCTCTGTGCAACCCCGAGAGTTTGGGGTCAAGCAGGGGGCGCCAGGAGCTCGTTTCGGAAGCCCAACCCCGCCCGCAGCCGCAGAAGCCGCGGGTCCACATCTGGGGCTCTAAAGTCTCGTCGTAGACGGATTCCGGATCCCCACCTTCTTCACTGGTTACCCGGACGCCCTCCAGATCCTCGCTCTCCCCTTCCCCCCTCCCCGTCGGAGGCGCGGAGCCGGCGGGCCGACCCCGCTGGCGGCGGCGGCGCCAGGCCCCGCCCCCGCCCCCATTATCATTAGCAGATATTACCCTAAACACTTGCTCTTTACCTCCTTTCTCCCTCCAGGCATTGGCGAGGCGGCCTGTCAATCAGGAGCTCGGGCGGCAGCCCCCCGCGCGGGGGCTCGGCGATGCCAGCCTCAGCTACAGGCGGCGGCGGCGGCGGCTACGGCACAGACACACACCCTCCCACACGCGCGCACCGGGGCAGAGCCGGCGGGCAGGCGGCGGAGGCACCCTCGGAGCCCGGCGCCCGGCGGGGAGGGGACGTGCTCCGGCGGACCGGCCCCGAGGCGCCGGATGGAGGAGGAGATGCAGCCGGCGGAGGAGGGGCCCAGCGTCCCCAAAATCTACAAGCAGCGCAGCCCCTACAGCGTCCTCAAGACGTTCCCCAGCAAGAGACCGGCGCTGGCCAAGCGCTACGAGAGACCCACCCTGGTGGAGCTACCGCACGTGCGGGCGCCCCCGCCGCCCCCGCCGCCCTTCGCGCCGCACGCCGCCGTCTCCATCAGCAGCAGCGAGCCGCCGCCGCAGCAGTTCCCGGCGCAGAGCTCCTACCCCCCCGGGCCCGGCCGGGCCGGGGCCGCCGCCGCCGCCTCGTCGTCGTCGCCGTCCTGCACGCCCGCCGCGTCCCAGGGCCACCTGAGGACTCCCGCGCCGCCGCCGCCCGCGTCCCCCGCCGCGTCCTCGTCGTCCTCGTTCGCCGCCGTCGTCAGGTACGGCCCAGGCCCGGCGGCCGCCACCGGCAGCAGCGGCACGGGTAGCGACGGCGCCAGCCTGGAGCTCAGCGCAGGTACCAACTCTCGGCGCAACTTTCCTTCCCGCCATGGCCGGGGGCAGCGGGAGGGAACCCGGGAAGGAGAAGCAGGGGGCCGCCGACACCCTCCCGCGTTCGGCCGAGTCGGGGCGTCGGGGCGCACCCTGAGGCCTCCCCGCGCGCCCGGAAACTTCTGGAGGATTCTCCAGCGCCGCTGCGCCGGGCTTCCGACGGCGCTCTCCTAACAGGTGGCTCCGCGGCTTGGAACCCGAGCCGGGAAGCGCGGTTGTAGCGGTCGGCGGCCAGGATCGGTCGGGCGGGATCGGAGTGGGGGTCGGAGTGGGAGCGGCGGCCGCTCAGGGAGAAGCTAGAGTTGCTCAGGCCGCTCCGCGGGGACGCCCTCGTACTGCTTCACTTTTTCCTTTCGCTTCTTCCTTTTCTCCTCCCTCCTCCATTTGTTTTTCCTTTTCTCCATTTCTTTGCTTTCTGGTGCTTTCTTCGCCACCTCTTTGATGCACTCTCACGCTATCGCGGACCACGCCAGCCGGCTCTCGGCTCCGTTTCTCCTTTCTGTGCGCCCGTTTTCTTCGTGCGCGCTCTGTCCTGCTTGGCTCCTTTCCCCTCCCAGCCCGTGGTTGTGAGACTCGGGGTTCCTTTGCGCCAGCCACGCGGTGGACTTCGGGCGCGGGGAGCTATCTTACCCCTCCTCCCTGCCCCGGGGGCAGCGGGTACTCTGCACCCCTGCCCACGTCGTCGATCCCACCATCCCCTCGTCCCCGTCCATGAGACACTGCCGTGCTGTGGGGTCTTGCCCCTCCCAAGCATCTCGGCCCGAGCCCTGCAAATTGCCTCCTGAGGAGCACTCACCCTTGGGTCCGTGGCTCCTCCTTTACCCCGACTCTGCGGGCGCTGCCCAGGCAAAGCACCCCACTGCCTGCCTGCAGGAATCAAGACGGGCTGGTGGCGAGGCCACAGCCTGAGGCCTGCGCCCAGGGGAGCTCTCCACCAGCTCCCGGTGGGCGCAGCCACGTTTATCTGCTCATTATAATTAAAAGTTACTGCCAAGGCTTTTTATGGCATTTTGGAGCCCCCCAAATCCTGCATGTCCGTGAATCTAAGACTCTTTTTTTCCCCTTGTGGAAAATATAAAAGTGTTGTGTCTAAATGAGTTATAGATGCCTCCACTAATAATTCTGTTGTTTGTCAATATTTTGACACATGAAGGATTGGTTTTGAAAAAGAAAATCTAATTACAAGTTATAGTGAAGACTTGATTTGTCACATCTCTCACTGATTTGAAGATGTTTGATGGCTTTCAGTGGGGTTCTTAGGTGGGCTTCCTTATTTGTGGGGTGTATTTTTTTCAGTTGCTCTTGCCCCAATATTCTATTGTGTTTTTATATTATTTGCTAGGCCGCTGGCTCACTTGGTTTTCCTCCTTACTTCTTTTTCCCCCACTTCTTAGTGAGGTTCGGTTTCTTTCTTTCTGGCTTGGGATCTTATTCTCTCTTAAACTACTTCTTGTTTATTTTTATGTTTATTCCCAGGCTCAGCTTTATCATTCTTTATTTTTATGTCGTTTGGGTCCTTTTCCCATTTTCTGTATTTTGCTTACTCTTTTTTCGTAGCCTCAGTTCCACCATTTTCATTGAGGTTTTCCCCTCGTTATCTATCCAAATCTTTGATTTCCTCTTGCTTTCTCCTTATGGTCTTTGCCGACTGTCTTTCCACATTTTACTTCCCGTTATACGCTATAAATCTAATCCCGTCTCATTTCCATTTTCATCCATAGTTTTAATGGACTATATTTTCTGTATTGCTGCTTTTTTCTGCTTCAGGCACTTGCTGTCCTTTCCTTGGTCACTTCTACCCTGGAAGTTTCTTTGCTCTCTTTCATTCATGGGGAGTGGATGTTTTTTTTTCCTCCCTTTTCTCACCTTGTTCTAAATGTACTCTTCCAGTGTTTCTTCTAATGTCCTGTTTAGTTTATTTTGTCTCTGTCCCCAGATGGAAATCATAACATCACTAAATTTAAAGGAGTGAAGAGGGACTTTTTTGATGCCCTTTATACTTCCCTATATTTCTTTTTATCAAGGCTGCCTTTGTTGTTTCTAAGGGAGGTCATAGAGAGGGGTGAACTTGATAGCACCAAGGGCTGGATGCCTTATGCTTTTTGGAAAGATAGGAATTGGATGATAGGTTTCTTCCATGCAGTGAGGAAAATAGTCTGGCGGGGGCGGGGGGGGACGCCGTAGAATTAGACATCATGAATTGTGGTCATATTAATCACTGATGGACAAAGCCATCTCTTAACAGGCACAGTGATGTGAGTGGCCATCAAAGGAACTGCCACCTGAAGAGCTGATTGGTTCTTTAAGAAACTAGTTGTTCCACTTTGAACCAATGAGCATGTGTGCACAGACCCATGGCCATTTAAGCATACTGGGTAGGGTAGGGGTGGGAGTGGCACTTTGCCTGTTACACCCTTGCAGAAGTGTAATTGCAGTGTCTTAAACTACCTAGTAAACTGAAAATAGTCAAAACATCCATGTGATGAAAAGAGTCAAGGACAGAAGAAGAGACATAACAGTGTCCAGAGTAAATGCAGTAAGAAGATGAAAGGGTAGAAGTGAATTTTACATGCTATTAAGGGCCATAACTGAGAAGAGAAATATGTGATTAAAAATAGATTTTTTTTCAACATTCTTATAAAATCTCACGAAGAATATAATTTTCCTTAAAAGGGGTAATACACCATGGTTTTAAAGGCATATTTTTCCTCTGTGGGAGGCTTAGAGTTAAAACCCACGTAGATCTTGATATGCAGCCTAAATTTGGCATCAGGAAATGGGAAATTGCATCTTTAAGCAGAGTACAATCAAAAATGAATTACAATAAATCCTATATAATTGCATAGGTCATTCTCTTTAATGAGATTTTATTAACCTGACTGTCAAGCTTTTGAGTCAGGCAGATATTTTATCTTCTTCAACTGATAAAAGTGTCAGCTATAAACCACCATATAAATATTCATAAATCTACACATCTGTGGCAGCCTATCAGCATCATTCTTTTGGACATTAAAAGCATTCTAATTACTTTCTGTCTAGCAGAGCTGAAATGCTGCCTGTTATAGTATGTGCTTGGCAGGCATGATTGCTTTTGTTTGCCATCACAAATAGCAGCATCCTATTTTATATACCGATGGTCCAGAAAATATTCAGGGATTGACTGAGCAGGATGAATATTAGGAAGCACCATCTGGTTTTGATAGCACCGAGTATATTAACTCATCTGTTAATTTTTGACACATCATTGATTTATTTATTTAGAAAAATTGCATCCTGTTTTGCTGTGTTGATGTTTGCCATTATGAAAAAAATTGGATGGCATTTTTTTAAAAACAGACATAGTTCATTGATTTAAGACAAGGGTGGTGCTTCCAAAGATGCTTTCATTTTCTAACTTCTATTTTCTATGCCATGAAGTTCTTTCTTAAAAAGAAGTTAAATTAATGTTTTAAGGAAATCATCTATTTTGAACTAGTTAGAAATCCTTGGGTAGATATAATATATGAATACATGATAGTAGGTCACTAAAAAAACTTCTGCTTCTGCATTTTTAATATTAATATATTTCACCCTTCGCTGGGCTAAAATCAAAAGGTTACCACTAATCTTGACTACTATGATCTCCTTCATAGAAACGGAATTCTCTTGGGGATCTGCTGTGATGGGCAAATTCCATTCAAGGCTTTACTTACAAAGAAGGGCAGTAAAGTAGGGAGACTGTGTTTGATTGCCTACTTCCCATCCCTCTTCTTATTCACTTATCAGATTTAGGATGGATTAAACCTCTTAAATTCAGATGAATTTCCCGGAATGAATTTTTTAATTAAAAAAATAATCATGGGTTCAGATTTTGGAATCCGACGAGGCACAATTTGCAGCATATTATCTCCCAGTAGGCTGTACAATAAAGCAAAATAAATTAGGGAGAAGTGGGCATTTTAGAGGGCTTTGTCATTGTGATTTATTAACATTTTATGGTGTTTAATTTTAGGGAAGTTAGGAATAAAGTAGATAAGGGATAAAGTAGTCCTTCTGTAAACTGTTGACTTTCTCTTTCCCTGCCATCACTTGAGTGGAGCATTCTGTGACTGAAAAAAAAAAACAGTTAAAAAAAATCATAATACATGTTCACACTTTGCTCAATTAAGAATCATGGATCAGTAACCATTCAATTGCGTTCATATGAAAACAGAACTTTTCTCCATTTCTTAGTGATATGATAATGGGCATTGCACAGTACTTGGTTTCTAATTGTATTCTACCTAGAAGGCTAAACTAGATGCTATATGTGTTAAGTGGAAAGATTTTCTGTTTTCCACCAAATGGTAATACTTGTCATCACACTCTTCTGTGTATCA